GTTTAAGCTACTTTCTCTATATATACCACTCTTTCATACGTAGTTAATTTTCATAATATTTTATCATAGGTATTTGTAGAAACACTGGATAAATGCTTTGAGAATGTTTGTGAACTAGACTTGATCTTCCACATGGACAAAGTAAGAGAGCTTATTGATTATAATTTTGAAATAAAGAAGCAGTACTTACAATTTGATAATAGAAATTATCCTAATGACAACTTTTATGAATTAAAAGTTTGGAATGCTATAGACCTCCTTGGCTCGGCATAATGTTGTCCCACTTCAGACCACGTGTCATTTCTTTGAGAATAATATGCTTTGTTTCAGTTGTATCCATATTCATGTGTCTTCTCATGTGCAACCGAGCGCAAACCTTAAACGAAGAAATGATACTCTAGGGAATGACATGCGGTCTGAAATGGGACAACATTATGTCAGAGCGGAAGAGGCCTATTGACGACTCTTAAAATTCCATTGTATGTGGGCTTAGCTTCACTTCTGAAGTCAGTAAACAAAAGTAGAAATTACAATTACAACAAAGAAGCAACTGCTGGATTCGAAGCTAAGCCTGCATAGACTGGATTTTTAAGAGTTGTCAATGGCTTGTAGAAATGTTATACACTGGCACATTGCTAATGATTAAGATGTTGATAATGATCATTGTAATAATGATGATTGTGATGGTGGTGATGATTTTGATGATGATGATTGTGATGCCGATGATATTGGTGATGATGATAATGAAGATGGTGATGAAAATGTTGGATGATGACGATGATGGTGATGTCGAATGATGATGGTGATGATCGTACATACACCTAATTGAAAAAACGTTGTTGGGTTCGAGAAGGCCATATCATCAAAGCTAAGACTGAAAAGAATTTTGGGTACTCCGAAATGTGTATTACATTTGCATATAGACATGTAAAAATGCACAGTAGAGCAGAGTCAGTCGACCTAGATTAACAACATGCCAAAGCCATTATGCATAAAATGTGCACAGGAAGGGAAAACTGCAATACGCATGAAATTAGCATAATTGTTTGTCTTCCCATGCTTTTTCAATTAGGTGTATATTTGTATTTTACAGGTTCATAATATTCTGTCGGAGATAGTCATGGGTGGAATGGTTGGTGGTGATGATGATGATGATGATGGTGATGATGATGATGGATGACGGTGATGATCATATATTCATATTTTACAGGTTCATAATATTCTGTCGGAGATAGTCANGGCTCTCATGTTGTCGTTTCAAGGACATGTCGATTATCAGAATTTACCCATATAACAGGGCTTTATAAGATTAATTTTTTCCCCAGGAAGAAGACATGCAACAGCAAATCATCAGAGAGACATTTCATCTAGTGTCACGGAGAGATGATAACGTCTGTAACTTCTTGGAAGGTGGAACGTAAGTATGCTTGCTGTGTTTTGGGCAGGAATGCTGGTAGTGATAATAACAGAGATGGTGATGATAACAATAATGATGATGATAACAATGATGGGGATGATAACAATGATGGTGACGCTGATGATGACATAGATGGTGATGATTACAATGATGGTGACGGTGATGATGACAGATGGTGATGATAACAATGATGGTGAAGGTGATGATGTTGTAGATGGTGATGATAACAATGATGGTGATGATAACAATGATGGTGATGATAACAGTGATGGTGACGTAGATGGTGATGATAATAGACAATTATGAAATAAAATGGCAATGATGATGGTAATGATGATAAATGATAATTGTTATAATGTGCAGATGATGATGATAGTAATGATGGTGGTGATGATGATGATGTTGAATGATAACACTAAGGACTACAATGATGATGATGCTGGATATGGCAGGGATGATGGTGATAATGATAATGATGTTGATGGTAGTGATGATGATGATTTTCACTGAGGTTCAAATGTTTCCAGTGTTTCATTTGTCCTGCATCTGGCCTCAGCTCAGTCACAATATAGATTAAATTRCATATTTTCTCATTGTTATGTGATGTGTAGACTCATTGGTGGCTCAGACTACAGACTGGTATACAGRCACTATGCAACACTGTACTTTGTATTCTGCGTCGACTCCTCAGAAAGCGAACTTGGTATTTTAGATTTAATACAGGTTAGAACAATCTTGATTATATCCACTTTGAAATCTCTAGCTAATCCTTTAATTTGATTGGCTCTCAGCAGTGAAATGTAATCACAAAGAGTTTCAAATCACACTGTTTTGAAGAGCCAGTGAAATTCCAGAAAACATAGCATTTGACCAATCATATCACAGGGTTTGATCTGTTAATTTGCCATTCTCTGACTTAGATCAGCCCAGAAGTTGTTTCAGGGTTTGATCTGCGAGTTAGCAGTTCCCTGACTTACTGTAGATCAACTCAGAGGTTGTTTCAGGGTTTGATCTGTGAGTTCGCAATGCCCTCACTTAGATCAGCCCAGAGGTTGTTTCAGTGTTCAATCTGTGAGTTAGCCATGCCCTGACCTAGATCAGCCCAGAGGTTGTTTCAGGGTTCAATCTGTGAGTTATCCATGATCTGACTTAGATCAGCCCAGAGGTTGTTTCAGGGTTCAATCTGTGAGTTAGCCATGCTCTGACTTAGATCAGCCCAGAGGTTGTTTCAGGGTTCAATCTGTGAGTTATCCATGCTCTGACTTAGATCAGCCCAGAGGTTGTTTCAGGGTTTAATATGTGAGTTATCCATGCCCTAACTTAGAACAGCCCAGAGGTTGTTTCATGATATCAGTAAAACGGAAGGTTATAAAATCAGTTTAAGCTACTTTCTCTATATATACCACTCTTTCATACGTAGTTAATTTTCATAATATTTTATCATAGGTATTTGTAGAAACACTGGATAAATGTTTTGAGAATGTTTGTGAACTAGACTTGATCTTCCACATGGACAAAGTAAGAGAGGTTATTGATTATAATTTTGAAATATAGAAGCAGTACTTACGATTTGATATTTAAAATTATCCTAATGATAACTTTTATGAATTGAAAGTTTGAAATGCTATTGAGGACTCTTAAAACTCCATTGTATGTTGGCTTAGTTTCACTTCTGAGGTCAGCAAACAAAAACAGAAATTAGAATAACGAAAAAGAAATTGCTGTATTCTAGGCTAAGCTTGCATACAGTAGACTGGAATTTTAAGAGTTGTCAAATGTAGACATGTTATAACTGGCACTTTGCTAATGATTAAGATGGTGATGATGGTGATTGTAATAATGGTGATTGTGATGATGGTGATGACTTTGATGATGATGATGATGATTGTGATGCTGATATTGGTGGTGATGATGATGATGGTGATGATGATGATGATGATGGATGACAGTGATGATCATATATTCATATTTTACAGGTTCATAATATTCTGTCGGAGATAGTCATGGGTGGAATGGTTGGTG